AAAAAAAAAAATGGGGGGTTCCCCGTATAAAAATTTAACCCCTTAAATTTCCCTCCATTAACCCCCCCCCCCCCCCCCCCCCCTCCACTAGTTCGACACACCGCATCACCTTTGATCTGTTCAGCTCCAGCGAGGCAACTAACCGCCTCACCGTTCAAATCGAAACGGGATGCCGATTGTTTGCGCCGTAAATGCCGTGAGTCTCGAATGTCCCACACGCACAGTGAAGCCTCACTTTTCGACACGCCGCGTAGCTCCTGAAACACTAACCCTACGTGTAAGAGAGCGAACGCGTCCCTGTTCCTAAACGAGGTCTCCATTCAACCGGGTGTCTAATCTCACCGTTTGCAGCACAGTAAGACTACTAACCACTCAATAACAAGAAGCTGGTAGCACGTCTGTGCTTTGGTGTAGCTTCAAAGTCTCAGCCGGAACATTAAATTCGTCCCGCCGTGTTACACTAGAGGGAACTCGGTACTCTGTACAACCATCTACATGGACTTGACAGCCCCGAAACCAGCATTCCTCGTGCCACGCTGTCTGTACAGGCGCAAGTGGGAGCTGATGAGAGCAAGAGCGCGACGATCGGTTCGAGTGTAATGACTCAGTGGGATGATCCCGCAAGCCTCTTTGACGTGGCAGTCTGTGGATGGTGATGCACGGCAAACAACACGTAACAAGGCGCTTTGCTTTTTGGTTGCCTCTTTTACTCATTCCATCCGCCAGAATCAACTCCAAAGGGGCCTGACAAATAGTATAGAGCACTGAAACGATTGCCTTATTCAATCCTCACCGCTAGATTCGTCAACTAGCACACTCTTAGATGCCGCCCTATGAGTCTCATCGACGTTTATGGCGTGAGGGATTTTCTCATTACACTGAAAATCACCAATCAGTTGTGGAAAGATGCAATCCTTCTCAAACACTCGTCTTTCCTGATGCAGACTGATTTATAATGGGGCATCCAATCTCTCAACGTCAGTATACAACTTAGATGGGGCAAAAGAACAAAGTAAAGTAGGGGCAGCAAACGTAGCAGGGACCAAAGCACGCGGTCGTCACGGAATCGTGGAATTCATGTAGCTACATGCTTTCTGTCTGCTAAATCCAAGTTGTTCGGGTGACTCTCTCTAACACGCCTCATGTACCGTTTGGCCCGCCAGGCCTTCTATCAGTGCCAAAGCAAACGCATATAAGCAAATGTGTGTAAAAAAACCTCCAACTACAGCCCCTTATGCCAAATACGTGTAAGAGTTTTCTTCTCTCTCAAGGTAATCCTTCTCAATCAGACTATTGCAGTAGTTAGCTTATCTGGTCATCGCTCTCAGAAATTTTTCAAATGCTTACCTCTCGATTTCCTTCTTGATGGCGGCCGGCTCAACACTGCCTCTCTTCTTAGTCAAGTTGATGACTTCGGCCACCAGCTCCGCGTGACCCATTGTCTTACGGCTCTTCATGATACGCACAATGGCAGCCTGGGTTTCAAACCGCCTGTCTTGCGCAATCTTTTCGTGCGTTGCCTTGTTTTCTTCCTTGGTCTCCTTCAACTGGATCTGGTTGATCTTGACACGATATTTGGGGTCGGTAAACGCCTTGTTAAATGTAAATGTGTCCGTAGGATTCACATCGCGCCCCTTAGGATGCTTTGTCAGTACACGCGCCTTTCCACAGGCCAATGATTGAAGCGTTCGGTCCAAATCACCCCCCTGGAGGCCAGTGGCGGCGGAGATTTGCTCATATGCCAAGAACCCTTCCCCAGCGACGTCGTTGAAGAGCAAGAGCACGGCGGCCTGGAACGCCGACACAAGGAGCTCCTTTGATCCTTTGGGAAAGGTTGCCTTGATGGCACAGTGCGCCAGAGAGTGCTTCCATGTCAAGACTCGGCCAGTGTGCTTGCTCTTGTAGTGCCTATCGAACTGGTCGATGCGTTTGGCAACCTCCTCGGGCACGTTAAGCCTAACATCGGGATACGTTGGCCAGGCGGCAGCGGACAGGATCATAACCTGCAGGTCCACCTTGCCAATGCGGTCGGGGTTGCCCTGGCACCACTCCTTGTAGGCTTCCATCTCATCCTTGGCGAGCTCCTGATCTTTAAACATTTGCTCCAGATTATGTGTAAAGTTTGAGCCACACTCGCCTCTCAGCTTGGTGAGCATGTTGCGTTCGGCATCTTGACTAGCGCTACGGCCCATGAGAAGGCGGCGGGCCAAGTCTTTCTTGTAAAAGGCCTCAAAGGCGTCTTTGCCCTCGATGAATCGGAAAAGCTCGAGAGCCTGGTCTAGCTGCCTGTCGAGCTCAGCATCTTCGTCAGCGCTACTAGCATGCCCTGCCTTCTCTGCTGCAGCTCGATCTTTAACGTCGGAAAGAAGCCCCTTGGGGAGGGCCCTGATACCACCACGAAGCAGCATGTCGATGTGCTTTGCAGTCATCTCGCCTATCTTGGATGTGCCCGATGGCCAGCAGTCGGCAATCTTCCGGTCATTCATGAATTTGCCAAACGCATCTCGCATTCCCCAAAGGAAATCTTCATCTTTGTTGAATGCGTCACGCACAGTCAGGTCCAGCGCTCGCCGCAGGTCCAAGAGGCGAAGCACCATTTCATCTCCTCGCTCCTTGTCAGACACAACCGTAGCCCCTGTTTCCCGGATGTAATCGCACCAAGGTGTCTTCAACTTCTTTTGTATACCCGACAGCCTAAGAAGGTCATACAATCCCTTGAGAGACTTCACATCTCGATCAGTCAATAAGTTGGACAAGCTACCCCCATGAAGCAACTTGTCGGAATATTGGTCGATAAGAATGTTGTGCGCTAGCGTCATCGATTGCCTTTGTGTCGTGCTGTCCAGGTTGTATGTCATGCAGCGCCGATCTTCCAGCTCCAAGAGGCGCTCGCATTTCTCAATGTACTCTTTCAAACTTAGAGGACTGCATGTCTCTCCAAACTCTTTGAAGTACGCCTCGGAGTGCTGTAGATAGACGGGCTCAAACTGCTTTGTGTATACTCCCAGCACATACAACATCATGAGAGAATCCTTGAGCAGCTCGGGCTCCTTCCGGCTGTCATTCCGGCGATCGAAGTCGATCAGCTCGCAAATTGCCAAGATGATTTCCGCTCCAATGGCCGGGCTTGCTTGAGCAGCCTGCGACGAGAAGGCCATTCTACAGAAGCGTGTAATAGCCAGGTCGTTTATTGAGGTGAAGGATTTGAGGAGCAGATATGTACGGTCGAGGTAGCTAAAAGTCGACCTGATGAGGATCTGAATGTCGAGTGAGCTCTGTGCCACGACATAGGTACGGATCAAATGAGAAGGGTGCAACCATACCGTCTGGGAATTCCACGTCTTCCACTCTGCCAGCGTCCTCCTCAGGACCTCAAGGCTGGAGACCTTGGCCGCGCTTTGTATCTTGGGTAAGACGACGCTCTTGAGATGCTTGTCAACCTTATCCTTGAGCGTCCGATACACCTTATCGGCGTGGTTACTGCGGCACATGTCCTCGACGCCGCGGTAGAGACGCTCCAGCGGGATGGCCGGGCTCCTGTTGCTAAAGATTGCGTCGAGAGCTTCCTCGAGCTCGCTCTCCGTCCGTGCATAGTACTCCTGGATCCGCGCCTCATGGTTGACGGGGCTGCGCAGATTCTTGATGACCAGCTTCCGCGCCCCGCTGTGCGGTTGAAAGGCCGACTGGCGCTTGGTCAGGTCGATGACCTCGGGCATCTTGCCCCTCGCTTTGGCGCTGGCCATGGTCGAGCTGTCGGAGAACCTGGGCCTCTTGGCTGCGGACGGTGACGACGACGACGAGGACAGGCGTGGGCGGCGGCGTGAGGGAGAGGTCGGTTCAACAGTCGCGGGTTGCATGAACGTCGATGGGCACGGGCACGGGCAACTCGGCGCAAGATTCTTGGACAGATGGGGATCCGGGACCGGGACTGTGATGATCGGGAGACGAGACGAGACGGGGCTAGTCGGAGGTTTGTCGCTCGTTTGCTAGCAGATGCCGTAATCTTTAGCACTGGAGAGATCGAGTAATCGGGGTGGGACTTGAGACTGGCGGTTTTGGGTCGAACTTTGGGGAGCTTTGGGATTTATTATGTCATGATGGATGGAGGGAAGGAGTTTACATGGGCGGGACCCCGCGATAACGAAATTCTCGCCTCCAGCTGCCCAATTGAGTTCCACGGGTCGATTTACAGGGGGTGTTTGGCGCCTAGCGACGCGCTATCGAGCTTTTAACGCGCTGCAGAACCCTTCAAAAGTCGATCGTAGCGCTCCTCCAGTCAACCAAGGTACATCCACGTACATGTACTGGACACCTCATGTACTGACGCGCATCATCTGACATTGATATCAATGACCCAGTATGGAATGCTTTCATCACGAGAGAAATCATTTCGTCACAATATAGCATAATGGTCCACGATGCCCAAATTAAATCCTGCCGTATTCTTGGATTTTCCCTCTCTATAGCAAAACTGAGATAATCATGACAAGATGCAACAAGATCTCGAGGTACATACACATAGCAAGCAGTCCTACTCTTTGCCAATCTCCAAGCAATCCTCGAGATATCTTGCAAGCGCCTCATGCGTAACAGACGTCAAAATACTCGCATCTACACCAGCTCGTCCAAGAGCACGCACCGTGTTATCAACGCTGAATCGCTTCATTCCCTCATACAGCTCCCACCGTGTCTTGTGGCCACGCACCTCTTCCTCTAGCATCGGCATCAATGGAAACATCCTCAGAGGCGTGTTAGTCTGAGCAGTCTTGAGCTGTTTTATCCAAGCGGCATATGAAACACTCTTCAGCTTGATCCCACAGAGCTTCCCAGTCAATTCGAAAAGTTCATTCATGTCGATCGATTTCCCAGCGTCCGGCGTGATGTGGTACGCATGACCGAGGTTCTGATCCGACGTTGATATGGCCTTGAGGATTGCTGCGACATGATCTACGGCCATGACTTCCTTTCGTTGGTTGAGCAGTAGAGGATAGGAGCCGAGCTTTGCGCAATCTGAGAAAAGTCGACCCATGAAGTCGTCTGGATTTCCCACCCCATTGCCGCTGCTGCACAGTATAAAGCCGAGACGATAAATCGCTGCCGGGAAGCCTCGACGCATCAAGCGAGATACCATCTCGTCTGCCACCCATTGACTCTGCCCGTAGCCATTCTCGTATTGTAGAGCTGGCTCAAGATAGGGCTCAAGCGACTGATCTTCTTGAATCAAGCCATCCTTCATCGTCAATCCAGTCGGACCAAAGGCGGAAACGCTGGAAATGTAGTGCAACGGCTTCAAATGCCCGTCACTAGCGAATTTGAGCAAGTGATATGTTCCTCTAACATTGGCCTCAATGTGGCTCGAATACGGCTGAGTGTAGTCGACATGAGCTCCAAGATGGTAGACGACATCCGTCTGATCGACCAAGCGATTGTAGGCACTCGTCTCGAGACCAAACATTGGCTGGCTAAAGTCACCAGCTACAACCTCAATCCGAGACTTGATCGACTCGGTGACGGAATGGCCGTACCGCTTGAAGTTGTCCAACAGCCTTCTTGAAGCTTGATCGCCCGTGGTAGCTCGCACGAGGCAGCGAATCTTGCCGATTTCAGGTGCTTTCAACAATTCCTGCACCAGAAAAGGCCCTATAAATCCGGTTGCTCCGGTAAAAAGCACATCGCGTATGTCTTTGCGTTGCGGAGCTTTGCTAGACAGGAATTCGATCTTGTCGCTGAACAGCTTGGCATCTTCCTCCATAATGGCGGTCACCGATTTCACATAACCCGACTTTTGGCCGTTTTGGGCTTGCTCAATAGCCAAAACCTGGTCTTTGAACAATGGATTCTCGTAGACTTGATCAGTCCGAAGAGCAACATCAAAAGTCTTCTGTATATGCCCCAGCAATGTCGTGACACCAAGGGAAGTCCCGCCAAGGAGAAAGAAGTTGCTCTCTCTATTGATGGCCTCTGTAGGAAGTGCGATGAGAATTTGAGCCCAAAGTTGCTTCATTGTCTTTTCTGTCTCGCTGAGCCCTTCAAAATCTGGCGTGTTGGCGGCTAAGATACAGGCGTGACGACTTTGAAACCTCTGTTCCAACAGCTCTGACATCTCTCTGTGGGCAATTTTTCCACTGCTGTTTAATGGCAGCTGTTCGAATTCAATGAGTTCTGGAATCATATACTTGGGCAGTCTCCTCTTTGCCTCAACAAGAAGTGCGTCGAAATTCCTCTGTCCATTCTCATATACAACGCAGGCAACAAGATGGTTGGCATTGGAGATGGAACTTGTATGCTTCAAAGCGACGACATTCTGAACCAGCTTTGTTCGCATAAGCTCCATCTCAACAACCTCTAATTGCACGCGGTGGCCGTTGAGCTTGACCTCCCGATTCTTGCGACCAGCCCAGCACATATAATCGTCGTACACATCAATCTTGTCACCTGTACGGTACAGGGGAATGTGTAGTTTTGGATCGTCAGGATGGGCCATGGTAACGAAAGACTCTGATGTTTTCTCGTCGTTGAAGAGATAGCCAGGGGATAAACCAGGTCCACCAAGCCAAAGCTCCCCAGATCCCGGCCTGGTGACGAGTTTTCCATCTTCGTCGAGGACGTAAGCTTCAGTCTGACATATGGGCTTTCCGAGGGGCATGCGACCCATATCAATATCTTCTTGTGTTATAACATGACAAAAAGAAAGGATAGAACACTCAGTTGGACCATATGCATTGATCGATTGCTTCGGCGCGCCCTCCCGGAAGACGAGTTTGCATGCCTCGACACTGGGCAGCTCCCCGCACACCATGAGCGTGTGTAGTTTAGAAAAGGCATTTGGACAGAAGCCTGCAATCTTGCTAAAGAGGCTCGACGTAATCACCAGAGTTGTAACATCTCTTCTCGCCAAAGTCTTCGCAAATTCGCCTGGGCTCAGGAGCTCCCGCCGGTCGACCACCACAATGGTGGCACCATGTAGCAAAGCAACCCATATGTCGATGAGCGAGGCATCAAAGCCAATGCTGTTAATATGACCGAATATTTGCCCGCTGGCTGTCGACTGTCCCCAGATTTCGTCATGGGCCAACCTTGTGATGCCACGACCAAGAACCTGGATTCCTTTCGGCACTCCGGTAGTTCCCGATGAGAACATGACATGGGATCTAAAGTCATTGGGGGTGTCTTTTGGTAAAAAGACTTGGCCTGGATGACTTGTCGTGAAAGAATTGGAGTTGCAATGCTTTGAAATATCCACATTGATCGTCACGCCTCCAAATTGAAGGCGATGTTTGTTAACGCCGTCAACAACCAAGTATTTAGCCTTGGCAAACGCAAGACGCGCATGAATATCTGCGTCTGAAAGCGTTGCTTCTAAAGGAAGGCAAGTTCCTCCTGCGTAAACAATGGCAAGTTGGGAAATAATATGATTGACTCCGTGCTCAGTCAGAATGCCCACGATATCTTGATGGGCAATCCCAGCTTCCACCAACGCATGGCCCAGCGATTGTGCCATGAGATGGAGATCTTTGTAAGTGACTGAAATATCATCAGAGATGATAACTATATCGTCTGGTTTGCTGCGGGACATGGCAGCAACAAGTGGGCCAATGCCCATTTCTTCCATGTTCAAGGATACCATTGTCACGAAAGAAGAACTCTGGCAAGACAACGCAGGCTTGAAAGAATAAGAAGTTCAGAAATGTGACTAATGTATTGCTGCTGGAGTAGTGTCTGGATTTACGAGAACATTGAACATAGGAGATCACTCTGTTTATATATTTACGCAAGTCTCCCTATATGCTCTCAAGTCACAACCTTCTGCTCAGGTCAGCAGAGCCTCGCGAACAGCAACCCCCGACAAAAAAAAGGAAAGGTAGTTCTAGACTGTACTGAAGCATGGGGGGACATAACATCGGGTGTGTATGCCAAGTGAAAACCCCACAAAAATCATCTCAATCACAAGGAAGCCTTGCGTTCTATTTGGAAATGGCCGGGTTGGAAGGATGGAATTCGACCAGCTGAACAATGCATGGATCAAGCTGAAACTCCACTTGTAGCCATTATATTGAAGTTTACAAGATAATTCTCAAAGATAACTTCCTACTCTGGGCTTACCTGCAGTGCCGTTGTTGGGTTAATTATGATATAAAAGCACGTGTGTGTTCTAGGCTTCGATTTCGTGTTACCACAAGATCAATTTTTTTTACCGTAACTGGGCCGAGCCTATCTTAGTTCCCACAATGATTCGTTTCCAGACCGTCTCTTAATGAAGTATTGTACAACCTGACTTTCTTTCATCTCATATTTACCTTGCCATCTGACCATGTCGGGGGATACAACCGATTTTTCATGCATAAGCAGCCCACCCTATGAAGACGAGTTAGTATACTCAGCTCTCATATCAAGTTAGAAGTCAGGTTAGAAAAAGGTCTCAGTATTACGTACCAGAATACAATACCGCAAGATTTCGCTCATCCGTTGCCTGGTTGATGAGATCATTGACTGTGGCCGTGACGCTCAGCGTCTTTGACAGCTTCTTCCTCACAACCTCCAGGGCTCGGTCTCCTTCAGATGGCTCATTCAGATGGCTCCCAGATTTCTTTCCCTTCTTTGTGTCCACATCTGCTTGGTCAGCGTCATCAATGCCGCCGTCATCATCCTGTCGGGCCTTTTGTAATTTGGCCAGCCGTACTGGAGACACGGACCAGCTGTAGAGAGGGTCGTATCGTAACACATCCAATATTGTCATGATTGAATACTGCTCCTCTCTGAGAGCATCAAGAGTGACCTCACAGCAGCGGCGGAACACACCCTCTGTCTTTGTTATCCCCATGCCATCCACAATATCTCTGGTAAGGCGGAAAGGTACGAGCTCCGGCACCGGCAGAATTCTGCCAGTCTCAAACGCGATACCCAGGTCAATGTGGACAACCTCTCCAGTCTTGGTATCCAGCAGGATGTTGTGGCCGTGGCGGTCTCCCAAGCCGAGCACATGTCCAAGCATCGATATGGCGGCCGTGCTGCGCGTATATGCTAGCCGCTTTACGAACCACTCGTCGGGATCGACAAAGTACTCCATGAAGAAGTATCTCATGACGGGTTGAAACTTCTCCGTGACCTTTCGGTAGGTGCTGATACGCTGTTCCACCGTTCTATTCTGGACATTGAATATCTCCTTTCTACATTGCGAACCCTTAAGATCGCGGGGGTAGTATCGCTCATGTGCCGGCATGAGCAATTCATGTAGAGGAATAGTGTCGCGGACAAACTCGATAAGTCCAGACGAGGCTGTCAGCGGAAGCACTTTATATGTTCGGATGCCTAGATTTCTCTGCCGTGTAGCTCTATGAAGCTTGAGCAGGGACGACACTGCCGCAAAGACTTGCTCCATGATGGCGTCTTGACGGAGGTCGTCCTGGCCACCCTTCACCAACTGCTTGTATTTTGCCCCATCGGTTCCAATCGCAGTAATGATCTTGGGAGCACTCACACCCGAGGCGATTGTCATGGTTGGTTCAAGCCTTGAGATCAAGGGGACTCTGGAATAATCCCTGTTGGCATTGACCTCGATGTGCATGGTCGGGGGAGGTATGCGAAACTTTGCGAGATAGTTGATCAAATTCTTGGCTGCTGTAGAATCTTTCAAAGCAACTTTTGCACCGGACTTGTACTTCGCTTGGTCTCTCTCTAGAGCAAGGCCGTGATAGCCTTTGCTTGTCTTCTCAATCGACACCCAGATATCGGCCACGGCTTTTGTGCTTGCAAGCTTTGTTGCGATTTTGTCGTTGGCCCTGACACGAAGAACCGCAACCTCGTCCTTTTGTTGCACTCTCGCTTTTGTGCCAGACCAGATATGATACATACCATGATAAGGGTGATCCACGCAAATATTGTATACCAAATTTGAGAGCAGCTCCTGAAACGCTGACTCTTGGTTCTGCAGTCGCGATGTCAGCTGGCTCATAAGGCCTGCGAATTTGGCAGTGGGGACTTTGGAGAGATGTCGCGTTACTGCTTTGTTTGTTGTTTCATCGTCTGACTTTTCGAACCACAGCGCCGTGAATCGCAAGGCATCATTGTTATGCTCGTCAGAAGCCGCCAGTGACAGCAGATAGTTTTCAAGACTTAGACGAACAAACTCGCTGCGAGTCATTTCAACACGGCGTAGCTCTTGCTCGTCAAGGTCAAGCCACTGTTTTTCCTTTGACAGGACATGTGTGTACTTGGCTTTGAGTTGCGAATCTCTCGTCGAGGAAATAAGCGACTTTAGTTCCTCAACTTCGTCATTCTTGCCTTTCTTCAAGTTTTGCAAACGTGCAAGATCCTCCAAACTGTCCGGATCCTGGAGCTGCTCGTCGCAAAAGACGGCAAATTGGTGAAATACTAGGCCCGCTTCTTTTGCCTCGACGCCTCCTTTGAGCTCCTTCAGTGCTGGCTCCAGATACTTCTTTTGTATATCCCGGGGCTTCTCCAGACGTGCAACGGACATCCTATGGCCAATCTTCGAAAGAAGGTCAGATCGGCTAACAGGTAGTGCCTGTTTCTTTAGCGCTGTGATGTTGTCGATGCCCTGAAGCATTTTAATGGATGTAGTCATCTCTCCGTGATCCCACAATGAGTTTGCGACTTCTATCTTGATAGCAACATCGACATGGACGCCCAAGTCTTCGCATGGCTTTATAAGATCGCTTAGAGCCGTCGAAATGTTTAGCGACTCTTGTGTAGCTTGGTGATAGCGATATATACCAGACGCCAAAAGCATCGACTTGATTTCCATCTGCCGTATGCCTGCCACGGAGAGTGTGGCATTTCCAAGAAGTGATGCATGTTGAGTAAACATACTCATGGTCGTTCCTCGACAAGACAAAATTTGGCTGACATCGTCATATCTGAATACTTTTTAGTAGCTGCAACTTCACTTGACATTCGGGGACATCTTCACTTACATGCCACTCTTCATCCATTGGCTGCGTTCCTGGAATCGGCTCATCAGACTCTCTAGTTCTGTTACATCTGCAATGTTCAGAATTTCGTCTAGCTCAGAGAGCGCTGCCAAAGCTCCCAGCCCACTCCTTAATGCTGTTGCATTGCGGTTGCCGCCGACTAGGTTTTTCATCGTACGAGCAAAACCTTCATATACAGCTGTCCGGACTGATGAGAGGTTCGTAGCCTGATGCATAGTCTGGTAAGCCTTATACGTTACAACAGCATGATGGTCGCTTGTAGCTGGCACGGGAAGGTTCCATATTTCAAGTCGTCTAGCAGTATGAAATGTGCTTTTTATAGAAGACGGAGTTGATCCAAGATTCTGCTGTGTTTGCATTAGGGAATTAGACAATCCGGCGAACCCAAGACTACCAAGTGCCTTTACTAGGGCATGGGCATCCGACTCTGAAGTATTTTGTCGCAGGCGAATATGGCTATCGTACTGAGCGCCTAAGAATGCTAGATTCTTTGTCCCTTCTTGCTCGTACTCCAAACGAGATAGGACGTTTGACAAGCTTGCATCTTCAGGCAGGCCATAGTACGCGTCCGGATCATCAATATTCTCAAAGATCGCCAACAAAGTTTCGTTGATATCCGCTTCTTTGGCAATGGAAGCCCTTCGAGATGCGCGGGCTGTTTCAGAAGTGGCTATTTCGGCGAATAATAGAGCCGTTTTGTGCATACCGCATCGGGTCGCGGATGATGCTGCCATAGAGTAATCAACATCCAGCCAGTGTAGTCGATCTGCTATAGACACTTCTTTGGGATATTCTTGGGTTCTAAGATAGAGAATCGTGTTGATCAGGAGTTTGATGCTGTCTCTAGCCGCAGGCTCAGTCGACCCTAGCCACTGCTTCATGGCACCGGAGAGGGCCTTCTTCGTAGTTTGTTGCTGCTCTAATTGGAAGTAGAGCACTAGGTGGACGATGAAAGGGAAGGCCTTTTCAGCAAATCCATTGACTTTTAGGAGCACTGGCGCAAGTACAGAGAGAAGTATTGAACTGGGTACGGATTGAGCAAGGAACGCACTCAACCGACGTAGCCAGTTCTGCGAGGTAACATCTTCAGCCCAAGAAAACTGATCATCTTCTGGTAGTTCAGTAGACGCGGCCTCCGAAGGGGGGGTGCGATATGCGCCCCATTGAGATGCAACAAAGAGCGACTCAGACAAGCTTCGCTGCCCCGCCGTGACAAGGGGAGCATCGTCTTCCACGACTGCTTGTGATATTGCAGTCCGCAAAGTGGCTTCGGCTAAACCGGCTGTGACAGAATTGGGATTCATAGTAAGATCTTGAAGGAGATGAAGAAGTCCCATTTCGGATCCATGTGGCCCTGGCGCTATCTTTTCATATTGATCAAGCCGTGTTTCTCGCAAGATATCTTCAGGTATAGTCCCAGAGGCTAGGAACGAACGGCCGACGACTCGTCCTACCCAGGATAGATAGTTTTCGCTGAGGCTTTGTGCTCCACAACTCTTCCATACCGCTGAAGCATGAGCGATGGCATTCTGATCGCTATCAACAACGTCGTTCCTGCTGTGTGTTGGGATCGTGAAATCACCACAAAGAAGGCCAAGGGCAAGTTGTCGTGAAGCCTCGTTGAGTAGCTGGCTCTCTGCTGTTTCATCATTTAGTATGTCTAAAAGGAGCTTAC